CATCATCATCATCATCATCATCATCATCAGCATCATCATCATCACCATCATCACCACCATCATCATCATCATCATCATCATCATCATCATAAATCAGGTGATAATATCATTTACTGGATAGGACAAGAGAAAGTTGAGAAAACTTCCAAACCCTTTAAGCACGCCTTTGAACAGATCACAGTCTTAAAAGAACATCTGCGGAACAAAGTGGCAACTGGAATTCATTTCTTGAGATTCGGGAGGTTATGCTAATAGAAGCAGGTACAAACATTCTTGTGTAACTAAGAAATTTTTCGTAGTAGGGGAGCTTTGTAAACAAAGCACAAATTAGACCAGCTGACCAAAGGTAATCCGAAAACCCTGAATAATTTTTTAGCTTAAACATGCATACTCGAACATGCACTTCAGATTAAGGCTGAAGATCTGCAGATTATTCGTAAATAAAAAGTTCTTATGATTTTTACAAAGCGGTATTCGAAGATGCTAACATCTACAAATCCATTGACAAAATAACAAGATTTTGCTATACCAAAGATTGGAAACTAGCGTGACTTGCATCCTATAATGTGTTAGAAACATCACCACTTTCTGGTGAAAATATCACACTTTAATCTTAATGTAATCGTTTCTACCAGATATTAAAAAATGTTGAAACGTGAGGATTGCGGTTATCCAATCACTGGAGCCTTGTGAATAATTTTCAATGTCAGTTAAGAAGGGGATATACATTTTTGGTAAGAAGCTCTACAATTAAAACGCTATAGGCTAGCTGGATAATTTTCCAGAATTATGGTGTATAAACAAACTGCATAAAGGTGAGTCTCATAACTGATCTAGATATGAGAGGGATAGGATAAGAGTGTAGCGTGTGATCATTTTCATTCCTCTTGTGTTTATGAAGAGTTGTACTTTACAAGTTCATTTATTTACTGTCATTAAATGTTATGAAGTGACAGAAACACTTCAAAATACACAAACTGTGCCTAAACAAACAATTCGAAATACAAATAGTTTTACAGTTTTACTGACAATTGAAGATCAATTTTTCTCCCTTCACTTTGAAAGGGACCTCATATTTGAGCAGCATCTTAGGCCTAGTACTCAAGAAATACGCGTTATAAATTTGGCTCATTCCCTGTCACGTTTGAACCAATCTCGGACCAACGCATGGCACTTACAACATTTGACATTTAACAATGCTCTACTAACTTCAACACACTAGTGACAGCAGTATATTGGAAATCATGTTGAACCTTGTCTTCAAGACAATACAATGAATTCTTCGAAAACAAAAACCTATCGCTCTTCTCAGCTGCTGGGCCAATTCTGATACAAAAAGTCCATTTCCTCGATACCATCTGCGCTATTTTTTTGGTCAAAAATTTTATCGCTCAAAATATTCAGCACTGACAAAAAATCGTAGCAAAGCTCTTCACTATTTGAAAGAGGAATGTCTTGCTCACAAACATTGATAATATAAAGGGGACATGTTATACGAGCAAGATAAAAGTGAAACAATATCGCATGTTGTCAAAAAACTCATTTAGTTGTCACAAAACATCCTCGTTATCTTCAACAATTATTTCGTTTTCTGTCAAACTTTCATTGTAGTCAACATTTGATATCTTTGCTTTATTTATTTTCTTCATCCGGCACTTTTTCGTCCACTTTGTGATTTTCTTAAATAACCTGCAAGATACGTTTGCTTTTCATCTGCTATGGTGATTTTAGACGCAATCTTGAGGTGATTGTGAAAGCTTTCGAAATGGCAGGCAAAATCGCAGTTGGGAGAATGGGAACTCCTAATGAGGACCCCTTGAACATTTTCGACTTTTTGTGTTAAATCAAGAGGATTATAGACTCTAGTAAGCTTAATATGTTAAAAATCCCATTTAAAATGAAATGAGAATGTTTTTGTCCATGTTCTTTTACAAAATCGTCCGAAATTTGTAGCAAAACGTTCGAAAATAATTTGTCCGAAATTTATTCGTCCGGATGTTTCTGCATTTAATGTACCACAGACGCTCAGTGAAAATACCAACCCTCATCCTGCGACTAAAATGTCACCAATTCTAGTTGTTTAGAACAGTAGATATTACACCCTTGAAATTGGTGAAGCATTGAACACGAAAAGGGATGGCAGCCTTGAATAGGCTAACAGGACTGAAGGAAAAAGATATACGTGAGCTCAGAGAACAAACCCAGACCCAACTCATGAATGCCAACATAACACTCTGAAACAATCCAACTCAATAACGACAGGTAAAACAATCCAACTCAATAACGACAGGTAAAACAATCCAACTCAATAACGACAGGTAAAGCAAAATTGAACAAAAGAAGATAGACACAGGCAGTCCTAAGTCACTACACTAGAGAGTACTCCAACGGATATTATTTCAGCTTACATA